AAAATGCATGCTACCTGTTTTCCCAAGTTGTTTATTTGCTGTTAATAAGTAAACCCATTTTCACCTATTCCTGTGGTTCATTGTAGTTTAAGGAAACCAAGCATATAGTCACATTAGTGATTTTGTTTATATTATGTAAAATATAACGATCTATTATTAAAGTACCGGTTTGTATTTTTTTCTTTAAGGAGTAAAGATTTGCCTTAAAATCAACTTGATGTTTTCTTGGCTTTCGTTTAATACAAGAGAAAATAAAATATTACACCAAATATAGGCAATGTAATTATTGATCTTTCACAATAATTTTACAATGCCAGTTACATCTGTTAGTTTAAAACAGAGGAAAAACTACTGTTTCAAAAGTACACCAAGTGATATTATTACTTGTAGTAGAATAATTAGCCTTGGAGTAGAGTTGTTACTCTTGCAACAAATACTGGCCAGTACACTATTCACATAGACCTCTGCATCTGAGTAACACGACTCACCTAGGCCTGAGCATTTTGGCTTTTCCCCAAGCTTCATTTTTGAAAAATCTAAGGCCAACCAACAGTCATCGTTATCTTTTCTAAGTTAGTTTCCAGTGTAAAAATTAATTTAAAAATAATTTTAGTTAGGATTTAAAACCCACAAAACTCTTTGAATAAGTTTCACCAATGCATGAAGTTTATATACCTGACAGTTAACTCTGTCTATGTTAACATACATGTAGTTCAAAGGATATTTTTTAAGCTAGTTTATTTTAGTAGAGATGTTTATACATTTGTAACACTTTACAGTTCCAAAGATTTTTACATATTCCTCATTTGAGAAATAGAGTACAATAGAGATTACAAATGCTTTGGATTAGACAGAACTATGCTGCTTTCTTACATGTGGGTGGTATTGGGCCAGTTATTTTGCTTTCATGTTCTTTTCAGAATCCTCTTCTCCATCACCTTCAGTAGTTATTGTCAATAAGCCAATGGCTCCAATCTCTTTGTAGATTCAAATCTGAATCTCCAACTCAGATTTCTTTTCTGAGAAGACTGCTATCTATAGTAGTGGTATAAGCAGCTGCTTACTGGTTATACATTTCTGCTTAGAAATTCCACTGAAATTTTTTTTTTAAAAAGTCCGTATAGCTGACCCTTGAACAGCACAGGGGTCAGGGGCACCAACCCGTCACACAGTCAGAAATTCACAACTTTTGACTCCAAAAACTTCAGCTGTCCCTCAGTATGCACAGGGAATTGGTTCTATGACTTCCTGCCCCTGCAGATACCAAGATCTGAAGATGCCCAAGTCCCTTAAACAAAATGGCATAGAATGCATTCAGCCAGCCGTCTGCATCCCTGGAAATACTGTTTTTGATCGTGGTTGGTTGAATTTGTTAATGTAAAACCTGGAGATACAGATGGCTGACTATTGCAAAATTGCATATATGTGGACCCACACAGTTCAAACCTGTGTTCAAGGTCAGCTGTACTTCCAAACTGAAGAACACTCTCTAACTCACTCTATGCCCTCTACTCTTCCCTGTTCAACTGTTACTGGTTGTTTTTTAATAGATCTTTTTTTTTTTTTTTTTTTTTTTTTTTTTTTTTTTTTTTTTTTTTTTTTTTTTTTTTTTTTTTTTTTTTTTTAACAGAGAGGAAGGGAGAGAGATCTATCAGCTGTCTCCTGCACACCCCCTACTGGGGATGTGCCCACAACCAAGGTATATGCCTTTGACCGGAATTGACCCTGGGACCCTTCAGTCTGCAGGCCGACGCTCTATCCGCTGAGCCAAACCGGTTAGGGCAACTGTTTTTTTTATTACAGAAGTTTCAACTACATAATTGCCAAAACCATATATATTATCAAGTCACTTTTACTTCCAATTCAGTCGCACTTTTATAAAGCAACAGCCTATTCTATCCTGGATATTAATTTGGGTGTACAATGATGCAACACCCTCTTAACTAATTTTTGCTGCCTGCAGTCCTGTCTGCAGTGCATTCTCCACACTCAGCTGGAATAAACATCCCGTACAAATCTATTATCACGCCTCCCGTTCCTGCCTTAAATCACGGGCTCCTTCAGGGTCAGGGCTAAACACCTTATCCCTACTCCTACTCTACACTGTTCCACCCACCAGCCACACTGCATTTAGGGCCTTATCAGTGAAAGCTCCTGCCCTTTGTACATGTGAAAACATGTCTTAAGTGGGCTAAGAGGTTCCTGAGAATATGATGGAAGCTATGGACTCTCCACAAAGGCAAGTAACATTTTTTAATTAAAATTTAAAGTAGTTCATAGTCTTGGAACTTGTTACGCCTGATTTGGTTCAATCACTGAAAGTATAAAAGTTTTTTCATTTTCCACCTTAATACTTTAGAAAAAGACATGTTCTCAATTTTTTTTGCTTTCTGGTCTAACCATTAAATTTATAATATACATGCAATTCCCAACTTGGGTGTCTCAACTTGCTCCTCTAATCATATCATCTCCTGTACCTTGTGCTGCTGAGGACTGCCTTTCAGTCTGGGGTTGTAGTCACTTACCACTAACTGCTTCTATTTCATAAACTGAAAAAAGGTTCTAGCATTATGGCTTCCATTCTGCTCTTCAAATGAGGCTGTGCCCTCGCTGCTGCTGGCAAGGCAATGAAGGAGATCTCCACTCCACTGCCCATCCCTTACAGAAGGCAAAGAGGTTCTAATTCTTCCCTTTTCATCCACACCAAGGTCACTCCTAATCTCGATCTCTAGATCCTAGCATTTCTATCCCCAGCAAGTTACTAGTTGGCAATGCACAGTACATCATAGGAAGTAATGGCTACTAAGACCCAGTACCTATATTCTAAGAAATTTATAGTGGGAAAGCCAGATGTGTGCACACATGGGAAGGACAGCAGAAATATGAAACCATCTCTCCTTTAGGTACTAAATTAGAATTTCTTTTAAATGTACAGAAGTAATGCATTGGATATCTGGTTCTGGTGGAGGAAACTTCTTAAATCTCATTTGAGGAGTAGAATTAGGATTTTTCTTACCTTAGCCTGGAAAATTGGTGAAGGTAGGTGGTAGGCAGAATAATACCACCACCACCATCCAAGATGTCCACATCTTAAGTTTCACAAGGGACATTACAGATGTGATTAAAGTTAAGGAACTTGAGTGTGAGAAAGTTATCCGGGATTATCCAGGTTCGTGTAAATTCTTACAAGTGGAAGAGGGACATGAGACTGAAGAGGCAGGTGAAATTCAAAACATGAAAGGGATGCAATCCATTGTTGCTGCTTCGAAGATGGAAGGAGGAGGCCATGATCCAAGGAATGCAGTTGCCCACTGGAGGCTGGGAACAGCCCTTGGCTGACAACTGTCAAGGAAACATTTCAATCCTAAAACCCCCAAATGAGCAAGAAAACATTCTCCCTTAGAGCTCCAGAAAGGAACGCAGCCCCAAAACACTGATTTTAGCCCAGTAGGACCCATGTCAGACCTCAACCTACAGAACTGTAAGATTAGTGTTGCTTGACCGTTTAAATTTGTGGTAATTTGTTACAATGGAGGGGAAAGATAAGGGTGGGAAGGTCAAGGAGGGAGATAAAAATATTTATGAAAGGTCAAACTCAGAGAAAATCTTAGGCTTTGTGCATGCTTTAGGAATGTGAGAATAGGAAAAAACTTTCTAAGTGGGACTGGGAAAAGATTAGTTGGCAGCAACAGGAAGGAGGCAGGTGACCAATGAGTGACAAGTTCGCTCACACAAGGCTATTGCTTTCTGCTCACACTCAAAAGATCCGGTCTGTCAATGACCTACTCTTCCTAAAGCCAAAAACGGAGGTGGAGGAAGAGGCCTGGAAAGGGAAATCCCCACTCTCAGCATTCATTATTGAAAGATTGTTTAAGGCTCCATGGGCAATCCCTGGAATTATATGGCAAAAGACTATTCAACGAAACATTGAAGAACAACTGCTTTATTCAACGCAGCCTCAAGAGTCTCTGTGGCAACACAGGGTCACTTGCGAGGAGGTTACAGATAACACAGTGAAAAGCAAATTGAGGAAACAAGTATTTGAGCCTGAGTGCTTAGTTCCTTTTATATCCTAAGTCAGTATGTTTTGCTTTGTGGAAAAGACTTCTTAGAAATGAACCCCTTCTTTTAGAGAACACAAAGATTTCTTGCCTTCATTTGCAGTTAGGTATAGCCATATTAGATTCTAGCCATATTAGATTCAGCGAAGAATCCAGTTGGAACAATGTATGCAGCTTTATTAGGCACTGTCCCTTCTACTTAGCTGGAATTTCGGCACAATGGCTTGAGCAACCATTGCTATGTTGGATCATTTGATTTTGAATGGAAACACCATGTGATGGTAAAACAATAGAAGAAACTTGAATTTCTAGCATGAAACACGGCCCTACGCTAAGTAGCCTGTACTGATACCTCTGGACTTACTGAATATGAGGGAGAAATACATCATTATAGTGTTTATCTCTCTTATTTTGAGTTTCTTTCCTGCAGTTGAACCTGATCCTATGGGGCTATCTTAATCTTATTCCAGTTACTAACACATAAATGGGAACGAATCAGGAATTAACGTAATATTCTCCACATAGAACACAAAATGCTTCTTACTGGACTAAGAGTATTAAAAGCAACATTTAAAACCACATTTGCTTTTGGAATTAGCAATGATGGTGGTACCATATACCTGGTACTAAGAATATACTACATACCACTGAATTGTATACCCAAAAGGATGAATTTTATGATTTGTGTGTTATATTTCAAAACTTATTTTAAAAATTCTTTTACTTACATATATTTTTTAAATTGACTTCAGAGAGGGAGGGATGAGAGAGAATCATCAATCAGCTGCCTTCTGCCCATACCGGGGCTTGCCCACAACCCTGGCATATGCCCTGACTAGGAATTGAACTGTAACCTCCTGGTTCATAGGTCAATGCTCAACCCCTGTACCACACCAGCCGGGCTAAAAAAATCTTACAATGAATCATTCAGTGAAAATATTAACATGTTTAAATGTTTTTAATTAAATAAGTTGAATTTAATTAGAACTACAATTTCTGTGGGAGATGAGATTTATTAAACACTCTGAAATATAAAACTTGAACATAAACCCAGTGCTTTAATTTGTGGCTATTCTGATATCCCCCTTTAAGTTTGCTTCCATTTTATTATCATTCATTTCCAGATTCAGATTTTGCATTACTTTGGAGAGCCTATTTTCATCTTTTTTGTCTCCTGAAGCAGCCCCTTTGTTGCAAGTTTCTGCTACAATAAAAAACTGTTCAGTTGGTGGAAGAATGCTTACTCCATAGCCATTGTTATAAATATGATTGTTAGTCATCTTCAATTTGGGTGCAGGAAGAACCTGTGAAAGTATTCAAAGAAATTAGTTTTTCAATAATGTCTATAAAAATATGAACTAATGAACATGTCATAAACTCTAGAACTTATTCTTGGGAGTACACATTTCTTTTAGACAACAGAATCTCAGTTTTGAACTAGTTATTTTCCTCACACTGGGTTAATGGAATATTAACTACAAAAATGTTTACTGAGGAAACATTAAATGAGGTTTTTGACTTATTTTTTTATCAGTTACTGGTAAAGATAAATGATTCTAGATGGGGTTACAGCAATACCATGAAGCTTACTTTTAATATGATAAATAGGAAAATAAATTATTTCAAAAATAATGAAAATGATAAACATGAAATTGTAGTTCTAATTAAATTCAACTTATTTAGTTAAAAACATTTAAACATGTTAATATTTTCACTGAATGATTTCAATTAATATGTAAACTAGATTTCTATGGAAAAACTTCATTAGCTACACAAGTCTAGAGAGGTATCTAGAAAGGTAGAATTTATAGAAATAGAAAGGAGTGGGAAGGCATTTCACTATTATAAACTATTGCCATTAATGTTTTACTTGATTTAAATTATTTTACAAAGTTTGAAAGTAATATAAAATATTTCTTAATATATTTATTATTCTCTTAACTTGCTTTACTTTCCTAAATGTATTGTGCATATGCTCACTGAAAAATTTAAAACATTTTTATAAGAGCAAACTTACCACTTTCTCATATTTGAAGTTATTTGCTAAAATTCAAGTTGAAATTATTAAATTATAAGACTAAAATTGTTTCCTACCAGCCATCACTTAAGCCATATCTTAATTATTTATATTATTCTTTTCCAAATCAGTAATAACACTTAGACTAAATTTTAAGCCTAAAAGTAATATTTTAGTAGCTTTCTAATTATTCTCATAACAATTCTATATTAAGGAATATAAGAATACCTTCATATTAACACCACCTAAGATGCTTTTTGAACTGTCATTGGTTCTGAAGTTATTACAGTGATGAATTTCATTCCTTTCTAAAGTGGCTGTGCTGCCAGGATACAGTTCAACACCAGCACCCTGTCAATGCAAAGCAAATACAACAGTCAGTAAAACACATTTCTCTCCAAAATTTCCTTTAGATTTCAAAATTGTAATCCCATATTAGCAATTTAACACACTAAGTTACATGAAAATACACAATAGTGCAAGCAACAATTTATTGTGTGGATGGTTTTTTTTAAAAAACAGTATATTTGTGAATGTTCCATAGTTTTTTTTGTTGTTTTTTTATATTTTATTGATTTTTTTTACAGAGAGGAAGGGAGAGGGATAGAGATTTAGAAACATCGATGAGAGAAACATCGATCAGCTGCCTCCTGCACATCCCCCACTGGGGATGTGCCCACAACCAAGGTACATGCCCTTGACCAGAATCGAACCCGGGACCCTTCAGTCCTTAGGCCAACACTCAAACCACTGAGCCAAACCAGTTAGGACTGTAGATGTTTTTAAAATGGGGGAAACTGTTATCTGTGCTAAGAAAATCTTAGGCCTAGAAAAAAGGTTGGTTGAAGTCGTACAGTCTATTATGTTGCTCTCCCACTCAAATGAAGTCTCTAAAAGGGAGTCTTTAAGCAATTCTTTTCAGTTGTAAAAATTTACTTACATATACTCTACTAAATCCCTCATAATGCTGCTAAAGTCTGTTTACTCATTTTAATGGAAAAGTCCTCTTAGATTTCTGCTTCCTTTAATCTTGTTTCTCATTAAATTTTCTGTTACTTGAAGACTCAAGCTGTTACAACTAAGTACATACCTTACAGCAATGTCTGATAGTTTATGAGTATTGTTTTTTTAAAATAAACTATCAGATAACTGATTCATAATCTATTTTATAGCCACTGATTTCTACATTTTAAAAAGAAGTCACACTTAACACAAAGTAATAATTCCTTACTTTGGACTTAGGCAGTTCACTTTTAAGTATACTATGACACTCTTGTACTGGTCTTCATTTTGTTTATTTTCATCAGCTTCTAAGCTTAATAATTCAAAGATGAAGTAACTGTTACCCTTTCTTTGCATACTAAGATCATTCAAAGTTATATCTATAGTATAGAAAGCAACAGTTTTAAAATGAAATACCTGGGCACCGATTATTTCACTGTCCTTAATTGTCAAAGAAGCCCCTGTAAGAACACACACTCCTGTTCCTTCACATTTTAATACACAGTTCTCCAGAGTCATGTGACCAGCCTCCACCACCACAATGCCATCCACTGTCCCTTGTTGTATCAAGGACAGGTGCATTAGTTTCACATTAGCAGCTTTGGACACCACAAAACTGTCATGGGAAGGTTCAGAAGTAATCATAATTTCCTCTCTCTTTCCAACTCCTGAATCATTGGAACAAAGACATAATTACATTAGTAGTACCAAAGTCAAAAGCCCTTTGTTATTCAATAATACTTGCTATTACTAAGTTTTTCACATATTTTTAATAAATAATATATGTAATTCAGTTATTAACTAATTAGATACTTACCTATAATGTAACCTGGGTTTAAAATCAATCTAAATCTACCTATGGTATTTCTTTAACATACTCATTCCACTACATATTTCCCTAAATTATATAATCAGTAATCATCTACAAATGTCTAAGCCTCAAAAAGTATCTTACCATAACCTATTTTTAAAACCACAATAAATTATATTAAAAAGGACTGGCAGAGACTCTTGAATTTGGTTATAAGATTAATCATATCCATAATTTTGCTCTGGCGTAGTCAAAGCAATTTAAATTTAACATCAATCCAAAAATAAGGGTTGGATCTTCAAGAAGGCTACAAATTTTTTAAAAATTACAAATATGATCTTTATTATCCAGTAGTAGTTTTCAGCAAAATACTACTGATTACAATCATCAAGATCTAGTGAAAATTTTATGTTGATAGGCAACTTTTAAGTCACCTGTTCTTTTCTTTTGGCCAGACAGTGGGAATATGCATGCTTCAATATAAAAGGGCAGAATAGTTACTAAATATATTCAGATCCTTAAAAAAAAGTAAGCTCTGCTTTTCTACTATTTTAGTAAGTTTGCATGTGAATTAACTTTTTAAAGAAAATGCTGAATATACTTTAATATAGCCTTATATTTGGACTTTCCCACAAAAGACATTAAGTGCAGTGGAGATAGATGAAAAGAAAGTTTAGTAAAAATATAGATGGTCCTAATAGAAAATACTGTCAATAGGTTTTCATTAGCATGGGAAGAAGCAGTCTTCATTGATTTGCTCTGGTACGGTATATCCAGACAAGGTCACCTGTACAGGCAATGTACACATGACAGGTGAGAAAAATCTTAATTGTAAAAAGGCACATAAGGGATTTTTGTGAAAAATAAACCTGTGTTCTAATTCCTAAGAATTTCATTAACCATGCTTATAATATACAATTTGCCTAGTACACATTGCTATAAAAATGCAAAGGATGCCCTGCTAACCCTTTATAATGATGTCATCAGTCAATAAAGCAAGATTGACAGCTTGATATTCTCCTGGGAAAATAACTACTGTATCTCCACTATAACAACTATCCAAAGCCAAATCCAAATCATCATGCTGTTGGAGAAATGTGTCTGAAGATAAGTCCTTTACCTGAAAAGAAGAAATAAAGCAGCACACCTTCAACAACAGATTAAATTAAGAGAGGTCATTTTAATCAGTTAACTTACTGGTAATGTGCTTTTCCCAAGACTTTACTTGTATAGGAAATACATTGAATTATTATATGTATTTATGTTAAATGCTCAAAGTATTAGTCCATCATTTAAAGGAGTGATAGTTAGATTTTCTTTATGATCACTAATAATTTTACAGCTACTAAATAATGTGTTAGAAGTCATATTTTGAATTTTACCTGTTACCTCCTAAATTTCACAATAGTTCTTTGAGGTGTACTATTATGCCTTTAAAAGGTTCAGGAAGTGGAAACTCAGTGAGATTAAATGGTTTGCCCAAGGACATACTGGTAGAGTTAGTAAGCAGTAAATCTAAGCTTTAGATCCAGGTCTTTATGACACCAGATACCTTTCCAATATACTTCTTTGTTTTCTAACTCGAACTGACCCTACAATTTTGATAAATCCACAAAATCTTACATATAAAAGATTGTAGGACTAAAAAAAGTACTAGGAATTTTTACTTGGGGTAGAAAAGGGTAGAGGGCTTCATTATTAGCACCTTTTAGAGTGAGGACATTTAAAATAAAATTTGGAAGCTGGAAATATACTCAGAAAATACCTATTCTTTTCCCAATAGAAATGGCAATATCATTCATATATCTTCTTATAGGAGTAGGTTAGGACTCACCATGATGGCCTCATTTTTTTTTAATTTAAAATTGAAATTTTTGGTTAATCTGCGATTTTTTTTTTCCATTGGTTTTTAGAAAGAGTGAAAGGGAGGCAGGGGCTAGAGAGAAAGAGAAAGAAACATCAATGTGAGAGTCACATTGACTGGTTGCCTCCCACACATGTCCAGACCGGGGCCTGGGGTTGAGCCTACAACCCAGGTACATGCCCTTTGACTGAGAATAGATCTCATAATCTTCGGTGTGCAGGCCGATGCTCTAACCACTGAGGACACTGACCAAGGCGATGGCCTCATTTTTACCTAATGACTTCACTGATTCTCACACACACCGTACTCTGTCAGACATGCACTCATTTATTTAACCAAAACAGTTGAGCACCATGTGCCAAGCATGATGTGAGGTGGGGGATGTATGGTAAATATATACTGTTTGCTCTCAAAAAGCTCATATTCTAATAAGAGACAGACATTCAATAGATACCAACAAGTATTAAACACAGTCGTGATAAGGGGAAGGGCAGGGTGCTGTGAAAGTACACAGCTGTCTAATGTATCCTGGAAGGCTGCGAAAGATGGACATGATGTTTATGTTGAGGGTTGAAGGATGTGCAGCGACTCTTGAAAGAATGTTATATACACCAAAATGGATACATGGAGGTGAAGGGGGATAGGATAACTCTCAGAAAATTATAACTAGCACCTGGGTAGGTGGTGGAACCATCTACTGGAACAGGGAACTCTAGAATATAAACAAGTGAGTGAAGAAGGTCATGTATTTAATTGTGGACAGTTGAGTTGAAGTACTTTTGAGATAGAGTGGTGATGAGCAATGGGCAGTGGACACATTTTCAGTTATCAGTATATATAACTGATCAGATAGAGATCAGATCAATTACTTAGGGATAATATCGTACAGCAAAAGTACCAAGCATTTAATGGATAGAAGGAAGAGGGGGAAGCATCTAGAAAGAATGAGAACCAGGGGAGTATAGTAACAAGACAACAAAAAAGAGTATTTCCAGGAGAGAACTGTGAAATGCTACTGAGAGGTTGAGATGGAAATATTTACTTTTAGACTTAGAACATTTCCCCTCTTGGGCTGCTTAAATTTATAGTCTTCCTTTAAGTTTCAACTGAGTTATTTCTCCCAGCCAGCATTGCCAGACTTGCTAATTCAGGCTTATGTGCTCATTCTATATGCATCCTGTACATACCTGTATCATAGCATGTATCATTCTTTGTTGTAATTGCCTACTTGTTCATATCTCCACCATATTCAAACTTGTACAATGTGTGATGTGTGGGTCTGGTTCAACATTGTATCTTCCTCACATGCATGCTTTCTCATATTTGTTTCCCATCCTTTCTATTCTACTAGCATAGTGCCTGACAACAAAGGTTAGTACTCAGCAAATAATTGTTGACATTGATTCATTTAGTACTTACTATATGCCAATCACTAAGCTGGATGAAATGGGGGAAATATGGCATTCCTGAGCCAGGCAAGAACCCTACCTTCAAAGTGCTGCTTTTCTGATTATGCACAGCTAAACTTAAATGAACAAGTAAGAATGAAGTGTATTTCTTACCATGTCAGTAGTCATCACTTTTGCTACAATATGTGTTATAGTCTTTCCAAAATCTCTTTTTCCTTTCCTACGCCTCAGAATTCTTGGAAAAAAAGGTCCATGGACTCTAGAGTTAAAAACATTTATGATTAAATTAACAATGAAAAAAGATTTAACCTATACTTGCTTAGAAAATAAAAACTTGGCACTAAGCATCTTTGAGAAAAAGGTTTCACTAATTTTAAGCTCAAGAGCAATGAGCAACTTGAGAATAATAAAATATTCATTAGATAACTGAGTGTTTAACCCCTTGAACTCTAAAATCTTTTCATTTTAATGGTTTGTACTTGAAATCTGCATGCAACTCACTACAATTAATACCTCACTCCCCTCAATTTCTCAATACAGTAGACACTTTTCCTGATTGTACTGTCATAATCCACTGCACAGAGCAGAGGTGGGTTATGCCTGTGATACTGAGGCATAAGAATGTTTTAAGATGTGTCTAATTTCAGATATAATGTTCAATTAACAGATTGTTTTGTTTCAGAGGATAGGGTCTCCATAGAAATAGTTGGCTGTTGACCTCCCAGAAGAACAATTCTAGCTTTTCTCTTAGTTGTTTTTATATTGTTTGCTACTTAGCACTTCTAATTACTTTTGTTCTTTCTCTTCTTACTCCTTTTCTTTACAGTTCCTGTGTTCTATCTCTTCATTTCATTTAAGTGTCATCAAAAGAAAGAAAAAAAATTTTTGAATGTAACTTTTATCATTCCTGTCAGCCGAAGGGACACTCCTTTTCCAATAGATGTCGATTTGCCATTAATCTCATTAGGTGAAAACGTTTGCGTTTTCTGTAGCACTTTATTGCTTGATGCTAAATGGGATGCAGCTTTAGTACCAGTACTTTTCAGGTTTATTGCAATTATCAAATATTTTTGTGAAGAATTTTCAGGAAACTGGTTTTAAGAAGTTGCCATGCAAGTTATTAAAATTTGAATTCCAACATATTAGCAATACCCTCTAAAGCAAAAGTTTCATTTAAGATTTCAAAATCAAACACTCAGCATTTTTATAACTACTTAAGCAAGTGGTTTAGATATTGAGAAAGGGAGCTACTCATACATTTTTGCACCATATACCCGATTACTAGTTGCTCAAAGAGTAAAGCATCCTACACTCAGGACATATATCATACAATCCTAGTTGTAACAACAAACATATATATCAGTGATTTTTAATTGAATTAGGGTATAATTACACAACACTCATTTTAAATGAATCATTTCATGAGGTTTCATAGGTGATTACACACATTTAACTCAATCACAATAATCAAGATATAGAACATTCCTGTCATACTCAGTGTTGTATCTAAAAACATTGCCAAATAAAAAATAAAAACATAGCCACACCCAAGGTCATCTGGGTTTCTGCCTGTGTTTTATTCTGAAAGTCTTACAGTATTGTTTTATGTGTAGGCCTATGGATCATTTTGAGTTAATTGTGTGAAATCCTTTTTCTTGTTGTGAGCATGGTAACATGTCCAAGCTGAATCTGGAGATCCTTGGTTCTCTTATATAGTTTCCATCTCTGTTGAGATTTTCCATGTACTTATTAACACCGTATTTTCCTCTCATTCTGTAATCATGTTTCTCTTTAATTCTTTAAACGTATTTATAATAGCTGCTTTGAAGTCTTTGATAAATCCAACATCTGGGTCCCCTCAAAATCAGTTTCTATTAACTGTCTCCCCCCTCCCCTCAAGTATGAGCTAACATTCTGGTTTCATTGCATGTCTATTAATTTTTGGTTGAACTAGAGATTTGGGATAATATATTTCAGTAACTCTGGATTGTGTTGTTTTTCTGAGGATTGTTAGTCTTGTATTCTATGTACAAGGCAGTTTTAACTTGCCTGGTCCAAGAATGCAAACTTTTTCCTTTGAGGTATGCAGCAGCTGGCATCTCTGCTTAGTTTTCTTAATTTCCAGGTTCCTTTTTTTTAGCATTTCTCTGCCTCATCAATGCTAGCATAGTTTAGAGGTCAACCAAGAATTTGAAATGGCAGAGTTTATGCTCAATCTGTGGATCCCCTTTGGCACCTCTTTTATTTTCTGGGTACCCCACCTGAGTTTCCAGGTGCTCTGCTAGCCTTCAAACTCTGTCCTTTGTCATTTTCAAACACAGTGCACTTTTTGCTGCCAGAGCTATGAGAATTGGTGATTACCCTCAGACCAAAAAGCCACAAATTTCAATTTTTTACCCATTCCAAGGATAAATCCATTTCAAGGATAAACTTTTCTGGTTGCTGCCTGCTTTTGGTCATTTCATAGTGCCTTAAAATAGTTGAATACCTTTAATAAATTTTGTCCTGATTTTATAATTATCTATGGAAGGGTTTGATCAATTAACTCACTCCACCGCTCAGATAATTAGATTCTATGTGATTATATAATTTTTCAGATGAGAAAACTCTGTGTTGCCCTATGGCCTTGGAATCTAAAGTCTAGTGATGATAACTTGTATTCAAATTCAACTTCTGTTAAAGCTGCTTTTCTAGATAAGTGGATTTCAAAAATCATATCCATATTGCTTTCCCAAAGTAACCCCAAGGTTTTTTTTTTACACAGGAATCCCAATAACAAGGAAACATCAAAAATAAACACTGGGATGGGATTCTTAGTGATTATAAAACAGGTCAAATTTGAGAGAAAATACAAAAGGAAAGATTTAGTTAGGCTCACAGTTCACAGTTAGATAAGTAAAATGTTGCTCAGAATTCCTAAGGCAAAGAATGAGTAAAGGTAGAACACGAAAAAAGGGGTTTAACAATTTTGTTTGAAATAGAAGTTCTTTGACTCCAAGATTTTCTATGAATTTGGAGACTATGAGCAAGAATTCCTGATTCCCGTCTTTTAAAAACAAAGACAGAAAAGACAAAAATATATATTTTGCTGCATAACAATGTAAAAATATTTAAACACATTTGGAAGTATTCTAGAGGAGAATGGCGCTGGTTAAATCTACATTGTTTTATTTATCATCAAAAACAACTTATCAACTTATGTTGGTTAGAAAAGCAGAAATTATGAGGCAGCCAAATTGTTTCCATTTAAAATAAAGCAAACTGCCCGGCCAGTGTGGCTCAGTGGTTGAGTATCGACCTATGAACCAGGAGATCAGGGTTCGATTCCTGGTCAGGGCACATGCCCAGGTTTCGGGCTCGCTCCCCAGTAGGGAGTGTACAGGATGACAGAGTGATTCTGTCATCACCGATGGTTCTCTCTTTCCCTCTCCCTTCCTCTCTCTGAAATAAAAAACATTAAAATAGAATAAAATAAAATAGAGCAAAGTATTACCGGAGGCGTAAATCTTCCCACATTTTCAATAATTCACAGAGCATTACTATCTCGTAGTATTTTTTCCAGCATTCAACAGCCTCTGCTGCAGAGGGATCCTCTTTAATATTGTTCTGATACTCAATGAGCTCGACACGCTTGTTTTTATATTTCTCCAAAGTTTTTTTGAAACGTTGTGCGATAGGACCAGGTATTGTTCCATCTTGTATATCACACCACCTGAAAAGTATCAATATAATTACAATGCTTATCTTATATAATGTGCTGGACAAGTTGTTTTTTAGATATTCTTTTTTTATAATATATTTTTATTGATTTCAGAGAGAAAGGGAGAGGGAGAGAGATATACAAACATCAATGATGAGAGAGAATCATTGATCAGCTGCCTCCTGCTCGCCCCCTACTGGGGATTGAGCCCACAACCCAGGCATATGCCCTTGACCGGAATTGAACTCTGGACCCTTCAGTCCGAAGGCCGATGTTCTATCCACTGAGCCAAGCCGCCTAGGGCCTGAACAAGTTTTTAAGTATACTTACAAATTAATTCTTTCTTCAATCAAAGCAGTATAATTGTCACAACGTTCTTCATCATCCCAGTCTCTCCAGAGAAAGTCATAAAAAAACCTAAGATAAATCAAGATGAAAGTGATCAAAAACAGTGAGTACCACATTTAGAATTAAGGCATTCTGATGTAAAAATTCTTTGCATGAATTTTAACTGTTAAGGAAAAAATATATTATTTTCCTCATTCAAGGACATGCTTTTTATTGATTTTAGAGAAAGGAAGGGGAGGAGGAGAGAGGAACGGGGAGAGAGAGATAGGAAGTGGGTAGAGAGAGAGAGAGAAACATCAATTGGTGTATTAGGCATGTGCCCTGATAGGGAATTGAACCAGACACCCTTAAGTATACAGGAGGATGCTCCAACCAAGTGAGCCACACTGCCAGGGCAGAAAAATCTTTTTAAATGACCTTTCAATGAACTACTATTAAAGGTAAACTTTAAAAATTTGATTATCTGGGTTCTATTTTAGGTTACTACAGATAAGATAATGTTGCTTGAGCCCTAACCAGTTTGGCTCAGTGAATAGAGCGTCGGCCTGTGGACTGAAAGGTCCCAGGTTCAATTCCAGTCAAGGGCATGTACCTTGGTTGCGGGCACATCCCCAGTGGGAGGTGTGCAGGAGGCAGCTGATTGATGTTTCTCTCCCATCAATGTTTCTAACTCTCTATCCCTCTCCCTTCCTCTCTGTAAAAAAATCAATAAAATATATTTTTTTTAAAAAAGATAATGTTGCTTGAAATGAAATTATAAATTTCAGGTTTCAGATTTCATAGATTTGGGTTATTTTATTCACCAAAAAAAAAGTAACACTTAAGATATCATCAGATTTGTATATTGAAAGCAGGAAAGCATTAGAAAAACAGAAACATGCCCCATCTATAGTAAGTTTATGGATGGCTTCTCTCAAATTGTACCAGACTTGAAAGAAGCAATCATAATGTGAATGACATCGAGTATTTGTAATGCCCTTAAATGTGAAAAAATGAAATCTGATGTATTTAAGATGTTTAAATATGAACAAAACTTCTTATTGCCAGAATTCTTTAATTCAATTTTTGTAAAATGCAAAGTTGAAAATAGCAAATGTTTATTGCCTGTATATAATACTTCAAAAGAGAATGTTTTAACTAAGAGTTACAAATATGTTCATTAAAAATAGATAAATTGAATTAAGTGAGTAAAATTAAATCAATAAATATTCACTAAGTGCTTATATGAGCAAAATTTACATGTTAAACTAAAATGTTGGATATGATAATTTTAACTTTAAGAAGTAAAAAGCTCTAATACCTTACAACTTCCAAGGCCAAAGCAATATCATGTATATCAGAATCTTGTCCTTCAACGGGGTACACTTCCAAGAGAGGCACACTATGCTCTAGTTCTTCTAAAACCTCATTAACCAAATTCCTTGGAATATTTGCAATATTAGAAGAAAAAGGCTCAGCAACAGAAACAGTCACTCTGAAACAAGATGATGAGCTCTGGCGTGGTGTACAAGTTGCCTAAAATAAATATTTTAAAATTTTAGTTTTTATTTCTTAAATCAGTATTATACACGCATATATTTTAGAATCAAATGGCTGTACTAGGTTTGTTATAAAAAATACAATTTCTTTATAATCTCCCATCACCCTCTAATTCAGCGGTTCTCAACCTGTGGGTCGCGACCCTCTAAGACCATCAGAAAACACATATATAATTACATATTGTTTTTGTGATTAATCACTATGCTTTAATGATGTCCAATTTGTAACAATGAAAATACATCCTGCATATCAGATATTTACATTACAATTCATAACAGTAGCAAAATTACAGTTATGAAGTAGCAACGAAAATAATTTTATGGTTGGGGGGGTCACCACAACATGAGGAACTGTATTAAAGGCATTAGGAAGGTTGAGAACTACTGCTCTAATTCTTATTCCTTAGAGACAAACACTTGTAATTCTTTTAGCTGATTACTTTGACATTTACCTCTTTTTTAAAAAATATCCTTATATTGCCACTTACATTTTGTTTTGTTTCAGTTTTTGGCATTATATATTGACCCCTGACTCTGAAAGAATTTAGTCATCTTTTTTAAAACGTATTTTTATTGATTTCAGAGAAGGAAGAGGGAGAGAAAGAAACATCAATGATGAGAGAGAATCATTGATCTGCTGCCTCCTGCACGCCCCCTGGGAATCAAGCCTGTAACCCAAGCATGTGTCCTGACTAGAAAATCGAACCATAACCGCCTGGTTCATAGGTCGACACTTAACCACTGAGTCATGCTGACTGGGCTTATTAGTCTCATTCCTTTTTCCCCACCCCCATCACATATACCCACACTCTCCTGGTCCTCCATCTACCAATGTTGTTAAAGCTTAGTATTCAGTATTTACCTTAAGTTTGAAAATGCCATTCACAGGTGAACCATACAGTGTAAACTGATTCATTTTCCTTTCCTGAACAAACTTGGTTTCTCAGGAGTCAATAATAGTATTTTTTTTTTTTGCTGTTTTCTGTGAGCCTTTCATTAATTTAACCCCAAATTCCCTGAGTTGTATACATCTCCTTTCAATATGTTCAAAATAACAACAGGTTGTGTGTCAAATGAATACCAGTTTCATTTTCTTGAAGCACTCTTTCCCAGAGTTCTTGGACCAGTTCCAATCTGAACTGGCTCTCAGACCTACATGCATAGCTGTTACCTCTTCGCCATCATCCTGGGAATTCCCTTTGCTTCTCTCTTATGTTGACCTCTCTGTATTTTGGATCAGATGTCTTCATATTTCTTGATTTACTTCCTTGACTGAACATCCATTAACTTCCTGAGGGGTACATTGGACATAACTTTTGAGAGATCTCACATAATTGAAAATATCTTTTTTTCTACTCTTAGGTTCTACCCAGGCTCTTTCCATGGGAACTCCATATATCCATATCTTTACTTTTGAGCTGATTCATAGAAAAATCTTGTGGTTTTCCTGCCTGGAGGGATATGCCTTACTGCCTGTATTCGAGAAGCAGAGTCAGGGTATCTTTCATTTGTTTGCAGAGACTTTGTTTCTTTGCTGAGATTGGTATTTCATTTGTTTCATGTGCATTCAGAATCGCTCACTGAAGCCTACTTTGATGGCTACTTTAAATCCTTGTCAGAAAATTCTAACTAACATCTGCATCATCTGGGTGTTGGTGCTTGTTGTTTATCCCAGTTAAGATCTCCCTGGTTCTTACAAGTGATGACACATGATTTTCTATTGAAACCTGGACATTTTGAGTACTATGCTAGTAGATTCTTGATCTTATTTAAATCTTTCATCAGTCCTCTTCTGACATCAACCTGGCACAAAAAGGGGGTTGCCACCTAGGTACTGCCTAGTGGGGATGGAAGTCCAGATTCTTCAGTTGGGGTGGGGAGGGGGGTGTTCTTTGTTACTGCTGTTCAGAGGTGGGAGTTCAGGTTCCCCATCAGGCCTCCACTGATACCAGCACTCAGGCTGGGAGATAGAGGAGCACCTCGTTACTGCTCCCCCCATGCCTCCCCCGACAGCACTGAGAGGAGCGGGGAGAAAGTCCTGATTCTCCACGAGACCTTTTCTGACACCACCTTGCAGGGATGACAGGAGTCTCTCCTTACTGGCAAGGTGGCAGTCCAGGTTCCCCATGTAGTCTACACTGACATTGCGGAGGGAAAGTTCCTCACAGCACTCTGGTGGTGGGGTTAGTCTGCCTTGATACAACTTGGCAAGGGTAGTCTCTGTTTAAAAATATGGTGTTCTTTATCTGTAAAAACACCAGTAACTTACTTTTCCATAGAACACAGAATTGTTTTCAGGTAGTATGCAATGCTATGAGTTGCAAAAACAAGTTTTTTTCATGATTAAAACTACAGATTTGAAATATCTAATCTGAGGCAGGAGTACCATTTGTGATTGTAAATGTTAATTTCCATACAGGGATAATTGACCTTTAAGGGAATCAAATATATGACATCAAATATGCCACAACATTTAACCTATAGGCATAGAAAAGCAAAATATTATCAGATGAAGGCTTGAAAGTTGATGTATTATATTAAAAGGTACTTTTCATAAGAAAAAAATTCAAATTATAACGGTAGTTTTCTGACCCATTTTTTTTTTCTTTCCTATCTATCTAAATATCATAATTGAGATAAATAAGGAAGGGAAATGATGGGGAAAGCCCCAAATTTGTGAAAGCCTAAATTACTAATTTTTAAGAAATGGGTTTTCATTATTTTTACATTATTTGAGCAGTTAAAACTAGGCTAAATACTATCTAGTATTGTAAATTAGGTTACATTTAATGATAACTTTTTATAAGTATATGGTGCTAACATTCCCTCTTACCTTCTTTTTACACTAATTTGCTTAGAAATTTAAAATACAAGTAAACTTTTGCCAACTTCTGTTTAAATTTCAAAGCTCCAAGTTAATAAGGGCATATTTTGATCTTAAAAAGAACTGATAATTTCACTCAAAAGAACAAAGATTAGGTCAAAATTATTTACCTCAACTAGTATACCAACAAAAGGGATAGAAGCTTCTTCATATTTCAGAAAGAATAACTCAGGGTTAGTCTTCCAGACTCCAAGCCATTTGTCTTTCAACTTTAATTTTTCTGATAGGTAGTTACTCATAGTCTCATCAGCATCTTCTGCCTAGCAAAAGAAAAAAGTACATATTTAAGTAAAATTATATATAGGTAAGATGTATATATATTTTTACTGATTTCTATTTTAAAAATGGACTCAATATACTCTTAAATAATGAAAAACCTGGGAAATAATAGATTTGAACTGAATCTACATTTAATGGAAAATATAAACACAGTAATTATCATATGTAAAAACAGTTATTTTTTCTGAATTTTAATGATGTAATGACAACTATTTAAAATATATTCAGTACATAAAAATTTAAAATAGCACTCCATTCTGTATAGCAAATGAGTATATTAAACCTTCAATAAATTATTTTACCATTTGATTTTTTAATTAAATTCAGCTACTTCAAGGATGATAATCTAAGCTAAAATGAAACTCAGTCATTTGACCATGTTTAATTAATGACAATAATTTATATAAACATCTTTCAATGCCTTTAAGAAACATACCCTTCTCCAACACTCAGTATTAAAGTTGATCATTAATACTGTCCTAGTTTTACAGGTGTTTAAAATATGGTTAAGATACAGAGAAATTTGAAAAATACAGAAAATATAAGGGGAAAAAAATCACCCCTAATCTTGGCAGCCAGAATATAACCATTGTTGATATTTTAGTGTATTTCCTTTCAGTCTTTTTTCTATGTATATATTCATCATACAGATGAATCAGTGTTTTCTCTCCTGATTTTTTTTGCTTAACATTATAGCATAAGCATATTTATAGTTCTTGAAAACATAATTTTTACATGTGCATGGTTTTCCATTACATATGAAGCCACAAGTTCTTTATTGACCCCCTAGTTGGAAATTAGTTTCTAATTACATTATATTTCATATATATATATATATATAATTTTAGAGAGGAAAGGAGAGGGAGAGAAAGAGAAACATGGATCTGCTGCTTCTTGCACATCCTCTATTAGGGATTGAGCCAGAAATGCAGGCATGTGCCCTGACAGAATGGAATTGGCGACCTCGATGGGACAACCACCAACCAACTGAGCCACACTGGCCAAGGCAGTTTCTAATTTTTAATTTTTACAAATATCACTGCCATAAATATCTTGGTACATAAGTTCTTCTGCTTAAAAAGCAGAAACATACAATATTTGCTCTATTCAGTATTCTCAGGTACCGTATCTATGTTCTATACAAAACATCTTTCCACACCGTCAACTGACGTGTGCGAACCATTCTCAGGCTGTAAACATTCTTAGCATCGCAGTGTAGTGTAAAATTCAAGGCTACCAAATGGAATCTCATCCTTATGTTTGTGCACAAACTATTAAATGAATCAACTAAGATGTATACCTGCACATTGATAAAGTCTATCTTCATTTCTTAGAAGCTCTAGGAAAAAAAAGAAAGAAAACACACTACTAGAGCTGCCTCCTTAACTGATGAATTTTCAGTCTGCCGAAAATGTTAATAGTTACTCCTTTAGGTTAGGGCCTGGGCACACCTAATAAGGTATAAACCTATAAATGCTGAGTCAATCTGACTTTTTGGAAATGCGGGTTTTCTTTGTGCCCTCTGGACCCACTTCCCCTGCTAAGCCCCTACAAGGTCCCGCGCTGGACTCTGGCCCGATTTCTTCCCATCCTCACCTTACAACCCCGCAGCACCTCGTCGCAGAAGAGCGCCACCTTCTCCTCCCGCCACATGCCCCGCATGGGGGACACGCAGACTGGCGGCAATGGCTGCGCCTCCGCCCTCTCCTCCGCCGCCGCCTCCTCCTCCTCCTCCTCCTCCTCCTCTTCCTCGGGCACCGACGGAAGGGGCTCTTCCTCCTCCTCCGCGGCCCCCTCTCCCAGGTCCTCGGCCTGAGACGCGGGCAGCAGCTGCAGCCGCCGCCGGGCCTCCTCCCGCCC